AGTATATATTTTGCAAAAGTATCGTTTTAAAAAATTGCTAATTTTTCAATTTCACTGGATATCTTCTCGATTTTGAAATATTCAGTTTTTAAACGATGTTTTCATTGATTAGCCATTTACAAAAAAAAAAAAATGAAATTATTTTGAAAAAAAAAACTATAAGTCTAGAAATTGAAAAATTAGAAATTTTTGAAAAAGTATCAGGAGAACAGGAGATCCGAGGAGGTATTCACTGAAATTTTCAAATCCAAAATTTTCGAAAAAATATCAGGAGAACAGGAGATCCGAGGAGGTATTCACTGAAATTTTCAAATCCAAAATTTTCGAAAAAGTATCAGGAGAACAGGAGATTCGAGTAGGTATTCAGTTTTTAAACGATATTTCGATTGTTTAGTCATTTACAAAAAAAAAATAAATTGTGTGGCACCCTCCCTCTCCCCATGATCCAATGTTAATTGGACTTGGGTAAAGGCCACATGGGGGCAAAAAAATTAAATTTCTTTGGACAAGGTGGGTTTTATTTAAATTAAACAATTAGAAGCTAAGGGATAAAATATTTAGTGAAAAAAAAATCAGTACTGGAGAATTCAATTACGTCCCACAATTTTTATGGAATTCCCCTTCGCTCGTGGATTAACTGATCGAATAGCTTAGCTTTTCATCGTCACTTTCTGTCTAAAATGTCGAGTTGCATAAATGATCCACCCATGGATCGTTCTCCTGCAATTGTATTGGTCAATTCCTCGGTCGAACTACGACTGCTCTGGGCCGACTTTGAGTTTCTGACTGGCTTCGTCTCAGCTCGGAAATTCAGGACGAATTTCAATTCAGCGATGAAAGCATCAAGTGGATGGATCTGAAGTGATTTTAAATAATTTTTTTTCATCGATTATGATTGTTAAATGATAAAAAATCCAAATTACTCACTTTCTCATCAACAGCAATTTTTCTGACTCTCCAGATAAATTCAATGATTGCAAATACAAAAGCCAAAATGAGGCCGAATGACAAAACCAAGAAGACACCTCCAACATGAGCCATTGTCAACTCGCCAGAAGAAGGTTCAGGTGCATTAGCAGTGCACTGTTTACTACCTTGTAACCACCATTTTTTCTTTAACTCTCGCAAAACTCCTCGCTCCTGAAGTTTAAGAATGGCTTCACTAAATTGCGTCCTATACGGGGAATTAGGTGGTAGGGCAATTCCATATCCTTTGCTATCAAGCAGATCTCCAACTTTCATGAGATTGCAATCGCGTTCAATAGCGTATTCTATACCAGTGGATTCCATGAGAAAGGCATAAGTTTTTTTGCCTTTGGCTACTCTTTCTATTCCTTCGTCATTGGTTTTGGTAAAAACGCTAGGTTTAGCTTCATTCATTGTTGCCCACATCCTCTGGTACATTGATGTATTGGAACCGCGAAAAAATCCAGATGTTGAACCACCGTTTACAGCTCCATATTTGATTTTAGTTTGACCAGCGAGTTCTGTTACAGAACTAACAGACACATCCATTTTTGTTGCTGTTAGAAATGCAGCGAGATTAGCAGTGTAGGAGGATACCATTATAAGAACGAAGAAAGACCACATTCCACCTGCCATTCGGAGGGATCCAGCGCTTGGAACAATATCCGAACCCTGTTGTACAAGTGTCCCAGCAAATGACCAGAGTGAGTTGAGCAGTGTAAAATTATTCTCAAGTTCCTCGGGTTCGGATTCACAAGGATGAGCAGCAATCCATTCATCGGGAGCTATTCTCGCTTGAAACCAGAATAAAACGGAGGTGAGGACATAAGCTGTTGTCATATACATCCAAACGTCTGCTGAAAATGGTGAGAGAAATGACCAAAGCTCAGGCTCCTTGTCTTCTGATTTGGCGAATAAAATGCTTATTCCAAGATCCATGAATGGCATTGTGAAGTCAACAGCACTTTCACGTGCCTTTGTTATGGTGAGATCGCATATTGCCAAATCCGCTTCTCGTCGGAGGAGACGACCGATGAGACCACTCCACTGTCTCGTGTCAGGATCCTCTCTTCCGTATTCGCCATCGGGCACCAGTTCAAATGCATAAGTAAATTTGAGCAATTGTGAGAGCTCTTCGATTAGATCAATTGCATATCCTTCAAAGCGTCTGTTTGGGCTTACATACTGTACACCTCTGGTAGATCCATCTGTTACTTCCATTATGTAAGGCTCTTGCTTTCTCGAAGTCACCAGAAACTTGCGTTTTTCAATGCTCTGCTGTGCCTGGGCCTCACGATCCTCCTGAGTACTGCTCACCATCAATTCTCCATCATCCCAATGACCAGATGTTGCTATTCTCTCATTGTGAAATTCTTTGAATATCAACTTGAAGGATCTCGCACCGTTTTCACGATAAATTATTGGTCCACTGACACTTCCATCTGTCGTTACCTCTCGCATCAGAGATATTAGTGTCGCTCCAGCCTTATATTTTTCAACATTTTCAGGATAACTGCAGGTGTATGGTCCTGACTCGATATCTACAGCCTCCTCTTCATCGTTCATATTACGTTTGTTGAACAGCTCTAGAGCTTCATTGAGCAAAAAAACCCCATCGAATAATACAGCACTCTCCACTGTTGTTAAATCGTATTCGGTGACATCGTCCGTTAATAATTGAAGAGCAGTCACATTTGCACTTGATTTGTTCAGAATTTCCACCATCATATCCGTTGGTGAATGCAAATCAGTGATTAGATAGTGATAGTAATCCCGAAGAAGTTTTACGTCATGTGCCTGTTGAATAATTCTTCGAAGATTAGGTGGTTTAACTTCAAATATAACATTGTAATCCGATGAATTGGCCACTTCCTTCAACAGAGGTCGATAGTCCGGTTCATTAGTCAATTTGTCAATGCTTGGGTTCAATTGACGTATCGTCACTGGAAAATCATGTGGCCCATGTTTCTCCAGTACTCTATGTAATCGTGATAAACCATCATCCGTATCATAGAGTACAGTAAATTGCGTCCAGTGCATACTCACAAAAATATCAGCGAGGGCCTGTGAACAATCACCTTTGTTTTTTTCAATTAATTTATCAATTATATTTATCGTTACATACATCTGCAATTATGTCTCCATCTGGATACATATTAATTGTTGTATCCGTGTATTTGGTGTCGTCAGCTCGCCTGAATACATATTCTATGTGAGGAATATGATATTTTGTTGTTACACTCGAGACGATATTGCTTGTAAAGGGATTCCCAGGACCAAATATTGCTATTACACCTTGCTCAATCAGACTGCAAGCTAAATTTTATAATAAATTATATTATAAATAACACTAGGGAAAAATTTATGAGAGACTTGCCGGCAAGATAAGTTTTGAAGCTGTCAGTACTGGAATTTACAAATATGACAATCGGTTTGAGTTCATAACTTGATATGAGAGCGTCTTTTTTCAGTTCTCCAAGAGCTCTAGTAAATGCCAAGTGATTTGCCTCCTCTTCTTCGTGAAATATTGCTCCTATGAAAAAAATATTGAGTTACCTAATTATTGATATTATTTTCCATGAGAAAAATCACAATATCATTGAGATCCTTCGTTGAAAATATTTCGTTTGATTTGTCTCCTTCAATAAAATTTTCATTCGCATTTTTCGATGACATAATGTAATGACAATAAATTATTCGTAAGATTTATGTACCAATATTCACAGGTTTTGGAGCACTTAATGCCGTCGGAATCACTGTCAGAAAAATAAACGTCAGAGTAAATACCATCATCCTGACGATTCACAATTTTTAGAAGGATTTCATTGAGTCCAGCTTTTTTTGTGCGGGTGTTTAATATTTCGAAAAATTATTCAAATCATTCAAATAAAGTATACGAATTAAGATAGACAAATTTCCGAAAGACACTGTCAGGTTTTTGGAGGATTTAGTGAGGGCCGACCGAGCTTCTACCAAAAATGACCTAAATTTAGTCACCGGGCCTAAATTTAGCCCCTAGCCCTGGAGGGGGTCTGCAACTGCGATTTTCAGTGACAGAATTAAATTTTCAAATGGATTTCTATGACTTTCATTCTTCCTTTTTTTTTCTATTTCGAAAAAATTTATTTATCCCACCTATAGTGCAAATATAAATTTCTGTATCGGGTTGAAATTGATTAACGTGAGATAAACCCGAGTAACAGCATAAAATTTATCATAGATAAATATAACGGTAACGAATAAAATAAAAAATGGGTGTAACCGTCTGGGATTTTGCTATTTTTTTTTCCATCATCCTCTAACTGGAATTTTCGTCTCACCAGTAAGGTGCAATGTCACAATACTTCGATATATTACTTTCTCGTTAAAGGAAAACTAGAACGCCGCGGGGTTCCATGTACGTAAGAACCTATACCTTCGCCTATACTAGGCGAAATAACAGTATAACGAGAAATGCTACCAGTTAATGTTCCTCTGGACATCATTTTTTTTTCACCAAACAAGCGTGTTTCATCACGCTCATTTGATTGATAAAAAATTGATAAACATTCTTTTTCTCAATTTTATCTTGTATAATTAATTGTACTCCTACACAACAATTGTCTGATCACGAGATTTTCCAAGCGGTAGGGGTTTCAGGGAAAACTTTCGTTATACAACGGAAAGTAAAAGTAAAACTCGACAATGTTGTCTCCAACAATGATCTCTCTAATATGTGTACATAAAAATTCAATAAAAAAAACACTACCTGCATTTTTTTAAATATTGCGTGCTTAAGTTGAAAATAATGAAGTTGCCCATGTGCCCTTAATGTTACAAATGCTCTCTTGACATTTATTTATTGAGAGGAATGATGAAGAAAACTCTCTCTGAGATAATTCTCTCCCACGACGATGAGAAGTTGCGTTTATCCGTGACTCGTTGCTTGACCCCTCAGCATCATCTCTCTACCTGCAATTCCATTCGGTCACACCCATTCAGTGCACGAACGATGGATAATAAAAAAAAAGATTGAAGCATAGGAAAAAATGATTAAAGCCAATGGCCGCGGAGGTCAAGCATCATAACGTTGAGAGTTTGCTGGGCTCTAGCACAGTTACAATGATGGCTTTCATATATTTCATATCATACGCCAAGTTTCAACATATTTCCACTCTGTTTTTATAATTAATTAATTAATTAATTACAGATAAATGACTAGGGAATGTCAGAAAGCGATCGTGATAATGAAATGTGAATAGTTATTTCATTAATCTCCATGTTCATTAGCAGAAAAACATTTGGTTGTGTTATCATCTGTATATGTCCGTTTATAGGGCGTCAAATTAACGGCGAATCGTCGAGAATTTTGCCGAGGGAAAAAATATAAAAGTTGCTGGTAAATATCAGTGGATCGGAAAGTTTTGCTGTCTGGGTAAAAGCCTAGAACCCAAGAAATCCTATCCTCTCCAAAGTCGACCTCAAACTCCTCCTCCGTATCCTACAGTCGATTGCATTCGCGTGGCGATTGCTCTCCAGCTTTTATATCAGTCTTCTCTATAACAAGACCTTTTCTACACGTGCAACTCAGTTACCTCCCAACACTCGTCCTGACTTCTTTGATCTATACCTTTGAATAATATTCACCAAAACCACCAGATCAACCCAAACGTGAGGTACACCTTGGCTTTGCCCAGAGCCCACAGAAAATATTATACATATAATTGCTCTTGAATGTGCAATTAAAAACGAGGGGAATTGTGCACCCGAAACGGTAGCAAGTGAATAAAAAAAATGAAAAGAAAAAGAAAATAAAACTTCCGGGCTTTTATTACCAGTGCGGTGTCGTCTGAGTTCATTCCGTGTTTTCGCATCCCAAGGACAGCATTTCGAATCACGCGTTTTTTCCAATCCTGAATTTATATAGTTATTATATTAAATATCCATATCCAGTGAGCGTTGAAAAATTGAATAATGGTATTGAATAGGAGATGTTCTGGTAAAAGTTCAAGTGGTGGCTACTATAATTATTAATTATTATTGATAATATTATAATCGGGTAGTTGAGATGATTGTTGCAGTGATGATGGAACTTTTAGGTGGGAATTTAGGTGGCAAATTTCGATGGTTTAACCCACTTACACAGAAATTATGCATTCGGGTTGATTAACGGAGTGGATTGGCATTTTTAGTGTTTGGGTCAAGTTGGCGTGATCTTACCTGAATTACTCGAGATGGTGGGATGTAACACTGTGCATCGAACCTGCGGTGTGTTAACGTTCAATTCGAGTTGTAATGGAGTCTTGTTTTACTGACTTGCCATTTTTACTACCAAGTTACTCCAATAAATCTGTCAAAAAAAATCACGGCACCATAATTGCTTTAAATTTTAAAGACACGTCACAATAAAAAAATATTTTACAACTAGCAATGGAAAACGGAATTCAAATTATATAAAATTAATATTTATAATATAATTAGTATATGATTCATCGGCGTTGTAATGAAATTTTCATCGACAAATGATTTTGTTATTGGGAAAATTGCTCATCGAGTTTGTGAGTTATTAATTGATGATTTCATGGAAGATGTTAATTAAAAAGGGAAGTGTGGGGGGTGTGTGAGTTGTAAAATTACGAATTCCAGGGGCAGAGGATGGAACGTTGAAATTCAAGTTTGAATTCTTCGACCTAGCAAATTAAGAGCGTCTGGTGAGCAGCAAGTCAGTATGAACAGTATGAACCGTTAATGAAGAGGCACCTGGATTTTTTATTTATTTATTATTTACGTTGAATAATTGGAGTTTAGTCATGGGGAATTCGAGATCGCAAGTGCCACGGAGGCAGAGGAAAAAATCTTACTTCCTTAATGTCATCAATCGTACGTGGAATGGATTACTGAGGGACAAGGAGCAGCGAAAAATTCATGGGAAAAATGATTCGGAAATTTCGTCGAGATGTAGTGAATGTGATTATCATCGGGGATCATTTATCTTGGATAGGTAAGACTCCTTTATTACCGATTCCCCCATCGTTTTTATTCTCTCGTCGATCCTTCGAGCAGTCCCTCGGAGACGATGTAGAAATCGCCTGTACCCTCTGGTGAAAATTATTCATCTTGACTTTAAACATTCACTTAGGAGATATAAATTCTTATGAATAATTTATTCAGGAGTTATAAAATTTTCAAAAAATAAACAATAATCATGAACAATTAATGGGAATAATCGTAATAGTAATGATAAATTTTAATGACAAGCTTTGAAGGTTCGTGCTACTATGGGTTTTCTTTGCTCCCACTCCTGTTAAATGCATGGCGCATCTCCTTTCAAGCAAGCACACAAGTACAACAGACGTACACACATTTGTGTACTTTACACTTAACAAGCAGGTGGCACTACACCGGCATACACTCTGGTCTCCGGCTTGTCAGTAAACTTCAGTAAAGTTCCGGCGATCGGACGCTCACGAGCTTCTCCAAAAGTTTTTTTTTCATTCGGTCAATCTTTCCAATTAATACGCAAACAATGGCACATTATTTTTATTTTCACTAAATTGAGCCGATGAAAACACCTTTTCAATAGAAAAATTATAATAATATTATAATAATATTAATGAAGATATTAATTTCATTGGATTTTCAAATGAAAATTGGTTTTCATGTGGTGTTGCCCTGCCGTGAGTGAAAATATTCTGGATTGGGGCGTGTCATGATTTTTATTTGAGAAAATCACTCATTTCCTGAGAAAGTATGTATTTTTTAAAAATTCATCTATTTATTTAGGTTTTCGAATGTGAGTGGAACAATTTTTGGAGAGATCATTGAATTTTTTGAATGGTGCGGGACGTGACAAATTTGGAGGAAAATTTTCTTTTATTAACTCTCATATGCAAATGTCTTTTGATGGAAAACGTTTTTCCACGTCTTGTCTGTGTGGATATATGATTGCTTCGACTCAGGTGATAGTAAATTGCATTTCGCTTGTTACACTGAACCTATTGTTAACTTCTTTCTTTTGCATTATTTTTTTTCCCCATTTTACTGATACTATCGAATACCCGATGATCGAAAATAATAACAAGGTTTCTCTAATAATCAGTTGACCTCGTTGTGGAAATGATAAACATATTTTCCCCCTTGCAATTCCACAAAAAATGTTGAATTACAATTTTCAATCTCCGGTCGAATTTACTCTGAAAAAATTTCCCGATTTTTTTTAAGGATAAATTGTTCATGTTCAGGGTCACTGTCCTAACAAACCAGTACTCAACAGTCCATGAAATTTTCATTTTTCCTCTAACAGTGCAATATCTACAGATGGATATTAGCATAACCACAGAGTACGTATTGAATGTCAATTTGAAATGTAGAGCGTAACGAGAACGCGTCACATCTAGGTGCGCGAAGATGACGTACTTTTTTTCCCTTGGAATAATGTCCGCTTTTTAGTCACGCGACAGTATTTTTCATATAGTGATTTCACCTCGACACGAGGCATTTATTAAAATTACTGGGCTTCTTTTTATCATTCAAACGATATCCAAAATTTTTTCAACTCTCAAATTATTCATATGAATCGACTTATTAACATTTTTTATCCTTTCTACGGAAGAAAATTAAATCGAGTTCCAATATTAATACACTAATCAGAAAGATTTCTTTTTTTCCTCGAATGAAACTCGAGAAATTGTAATGTAAAACCCTCGAGTCCTAGATTCCATTCATAAAAGGTAAATGAAAAGAATGACATACGATTGTCTGTCGCATTAGTATCTTTCGTATTATAAATTTTCAAGGTATATATTTACCAAGGAAGTTGTGCTAGTTTATGGTTTATGGTGTTATAAATTATCTCAAGTGGGAGAGAAAAGTTGTCATGCCAAAATTTCCACACAGACATCATAGACGAATTGCCTTGTTCTACACAACGTGTTCCATATTTCTTCACCATTGCATTGAATAAATCGTTTGGGAATTTTTCCCATCAATTGATCACGCAATACACAAAGAAACAATTGGTTTAGATGCATGCACTGAAAAGGGCATTTTCATGGATTTGATTTTCTTATTTTCTATGAAGAAAATTGTACATTGGTAGTTTTCAATTTTGTCTTCACCTTTTTCACGAGAATTCTTTGGCCATCGAGTTTTTCCAACAATTCAGCGTGAAAATTATCTCTTTTTCTCTCTCTCGGATGACTGGCTTAGACTTCCTGCATGAGTTGCGCGTATTACGCGCAATGGGTACGCATATAACGCTCACGGAAAAGATACAGTTATGGACTCTGAGTACTCACATATTCCAGATGAGGATGAGGATGAGTCTTGTATTGAAGATGAAGACACAAGTGGACCTGCACCCTCTCTATCCCACCATTCATCAAATTATCTTTATTCTAATGCCAAGCATAATAAAACAGTGGTTCCCCCATTTCTTCCACAATCCCATCGGTATGAATCCACTATTTTCCTATACGATTATAATAATTTTTGTTAACCATTACACAACAATCATTGATTTAATGAAGGAATGAAAAACCGATAATACAATCTTTTCATCATAAATACAGTAATTATGCTGATCAATTGGCAAGATATACGGCTTGTATTTTGTAACACCAACCAGAAACTCGAGAGATTCCCTCAGACACGCGATCGCATAATTGACTCGCGGCTTTGAGATTGTATTATAATGAAAATATGATGAGGATGGAGGTGTGCGATACCAGGTGAATATCCGACTATTCACAATCAACCTCATAATATCCAACGCTCACCGTTTTCATTCTGTCAGTCAATTATCAAAATCATTATCATTAGCAATTACAAAAAAATAATAATAATCATTGATACATTCTCGTGGACTTGTAACACTGTGAAAAAAAATTACTGTCTGGTAAATCAACTCACCTGTCAAGTAAATTTACTTGACAAAAGTAATGATTTTCCTAGAGATGAAGAAAATTCTCAACAACAGCGTGAATACAATCGAGTAGAATCAAATGAATAAATCCAACAGAGAAATATGAAGACAATAACTGACAAGAGAGTCTCTCCACCCACTCAGAATTCAGTGTCGTGACTTGCTCGTGTGAAACTGACGTATTACTCAGATGAGTCGAGTATCTCGACATAATAAATAATCCCCACGCTATTTACCAAGTGCATTGCACCGATGTTGATATTTTCATTTCACCGCGTAACGGTTTCCAATGATTCTATCAACAATTAAAATTTTAAATAACCCTCCGGCAAACAATTGTTCATATCTCATTGAGTCCACGGGGGCAATTGACGAACACTCATTTTTATATATTTGAGTAGCAAATGGAAAGCCATTATTTTTCTCTAACTGCATCGTTAAATAAAAGAGGCAAACTCGAGCTACTTTTACCGTTGTTGGAATTCGTTGCAGGCATTTAAAATAGTAAATTGTTGCAAACAGAACGACATGTTTGACGCTTTTCACTGACGCACTAGATTCCCATGTTAATGAGGTCATTGCATTCTGGAAAATTAAATAAATCATAATCACTCGGTTAATTTTAAACTGGTGGACTTTTTCATTTTTTCTGCACATTATGTGCACAGTATGTTGCGTATTTATAATGATTCACGCTTCTGCCAGTCTGATCATTATCTCAAAGTTATACGTAAGATATGAAATAGCTGGTGTTTAAATCCAGGAAGGAACGCGGCTGATGGAGAAGCAACCGATGGCGCCAATCTGCTAGGTAAAACTCAACAAATCGACACATTCATCAAAGTATCATTGAAAATAGTCAACGGATATCGATAAATTTCACATGCCGACTGAATGACCGGGCCAATCAGCCTCATTCAAGGGAATTTATTGATTGTAGATAGGCGTAGAGAAGATTTCCGTATCGCATCAAATGTTGCTTGACCATCTATATCACGACCGTTAAGTCGATAAACAAGAATAGAAGCATGGATAGTAATAAAAGGGAGATTGGATCGTGGCATGCCTCAATGATCACCACTTCTTTATCTACCTTGAATTTACAAGGGCTAGTAACATTGAAACTCACGACAATCACGTGGTTCAGAGATCATGCGTAAAGTGAATTTGATATTATTGCAGTGCTTCTGTGCCTTGGGCACGTGCTGCTAACTATAAATCCATTTTCAATATAATTAATTGGGCCATGTTATTTGGCACACCCTGGTACACCTGGAGTTTGAAGGTAACGCATGTCGGACATCCTCTTTCCTCGTCCTCTTCATCGCAAGTGCATTTGTACTATGGGCTGTGTGTGTTTGCGTGTATGTACCCATGACTAACAGCACACGGGTCAATGCCTTGGCTGTCCTCACCGTCCTCACACACCGCCTGTCCTTTTCTCCTTCTTTTATGGACCTCACTCTTTCGACCACTGTTATTTTCAATCACAACATTCAACATGACCACAACCCAATTCCATTTCTCTATCGCCAATAAAAAAATCATCCCCACATCACCTTCTCCAGAGTAATTTTTCCTTTTCCCCTTAACCAGCGGAAAATTGAATGAAAGGGGTGGTTATTTTATTAATTGAGTGTAATGGCAAGATTTAATGATGGATTGATAAGTTTCTTCATGGTTTCTGAATAATGAAAAAAAAAAAAATGGTAAAAATGGTAATCCAAGGGGTGATCGACACGTTGATTCCGTTCCATCTCGAAGGAACGACCGCGTCGTGGCTATTTACCGTTTGAAAATCCCACGACGGGGAGGGGAACTCACCGGCTGCGTCGATACACCATGTCCACAATTATTATCCAACATTCAATGTACGAACTGAAGAGTCACTTGACTCTTCAACAACTTCACTGGCCCTCCGAATTGTACCGATATCCAAACACGGCCGAAGATTCACCTGGCAAATATAGGGCTTTCCAAGCTCCTAGGTACACTTCCTCATTAATACCATTGAATTGATTTTTTGTTCCAGCGAATCCGAAATGGCACCAAATGCTGAGGAAGAAATGCTGGCAGTCAAACCGTGGAGTCTCCAACAGGATAAGGTGAATTCATTAATTCATTCATTAATGCTCCATTAATGTGACTGCGTGCGACCTGAATATTCATTAAAGACACTTGATTGGGATTAATTTGTAAATTGTAAGAGACACTGTCATTACGAAAACAATGGTTCACCATCAGAAAATAAATGTTATTTTTATGAGACTTCCGTTTTTTCATCCAAGAAAAAATAAGTGGGGAATTGCTCGAGTGATTATTTTCCGTATTATCTTTCCTTTTTGGAAATAAGCTTTCATTTTTATTTCATGAACTGTTCTGAGCTCTCACTAGCGCTTCTCTCCATCGCGAATGCATTTTCAAAATTCTTAGTTGATATACGAGAAAAAATATGAAACTTGAGTTAATATATGGCGATGTGGTTTGCGAGAAAGGAATGAACACACGGAAATGTTTTATTCGTCGGCTTTCAATGTTGCCCTGTGAGACCACAAAATAAATTTTTTTTCAGTCTATTCAGTCCTTTTTCCCTTCCCAATAAACGAGCCAACCAACCGCAAGTTTTTTTATGTGCATACGTCTTTTTTTTTATCTCTCATACTTTTTCGTTTACCTTCCAGTCACCGACTTCCGGTGATAAATATGCTGATCTAATCACTCCCCTTACTTATGGCTTGGTTTGTATTCTCTGTGAGAAAATTCTTGACAAAATTGACTTTTTAGTGCTAAAGGAAGTGTATCGAATGACAATTACATGATTATCACAGACCCACCACTGATAACAATTGAATTATATATTCAGAATATTATTATAATATTATTTTTATCCGGCCACTCGATGAAATATTCCTGACATTTTTTTCCTTCTTTCTTCGAATGACTTTCCCCCATAAATGGAGTTATGATTTATTTACAGGAACGTCTCCGTCCACCCACGTACAATGCAGAAGATTATGCCATGGCCCTTCGACGATGGGGAAGACGACCCACAAGTGTTCAGGATTCTCAGGGTACTCTACCATCTACAACGAGTTCTTCATCAGGATATGTATCAGGAAGTGGAGAAATGACACTCAGGCAATTCACATCAGTCAGTGAACTTCTCAATAAACTCAGAGCTGATCTCAGAGTGGCATTTCCAAGGTGAGAATTACTACCAACAATTTCTATTTATTTTATTTTCGGATCGCCGAGGGAAACTCGCAATTAATTTTCAACTAATCAATGAGTAGTAAAAATAAAACCTCTTGGTATATCTATCGATACCCATCGACCAGAAAAATGGTGGTGGAGATGAAAAAAAAAAATAAAAAACATAGAGTGAAAAAAAAGGCTCAGCACAAAGGGAAAATAAGCGAAGCCACAACCCCACAAGTTGGTCCGGATAAGACTTTTTGTTTTACTTTAGCCAGTACCCCATCATTACACACTTCTTTTGCTTCATTCTTCCTCTCTAAACTCAAACTCATATGCATACAGAGTAACGTTTCAAAAATTTACAAAAAATTAAGATTTTCCTCTTTTAGTTCTTACTTTTATTTTCTTTTTCATTATGCACAACAAACAACAACATATTAACACAAGTCATATTAGAAAAGAATTTCTCTTATAAAAATTCCTCGTCGTGATTTTTTTGAACTAGTGTAATAAATAAAACTGGTTGTCATTTCTGATTGCCAACATCTGGCGAACGTTCTCTGCACCGTTGTCCCACATAAATGAGTAGTAATCCATACGTACAGCAGGTCCTTGTAATTATATGCGGTAAATAGTTGTTTTGTACTGTACCGTTTGAATTTCGGTGAAATGGGCTAAAATACTGTTATAAATATCGATTTTATGTATTATTCTCTAGTTGAGTGCAAATAAATCACCACATGTGGTCATTCTGAAATTAATATTCTTTTGACACTGATTCATTCGGATTGGTGCATGAATGATTTTATTTTTCAGTTTCGTTCAAGAATTCTCCTCAGCTCCAGCTGATGGGATAACTCTTCTCCTGGAAACGCTTCGCGGAGTTCAACTGGTTCAGAGTACTCCTCCAACAAGTGGTCAAAGTGGTCCGAGAATTGGAACTAGGAGAGCAGCTCTTGATGAGCTAGGATGTGTCGAGTGTTTGGCAGCATGTGCAGAGAGATGTGCAGACGCTCCGAGACTTCTTGCTCAAGCCCAACCTGGACTTCTCGCCCTGGCAGTATGTCTCACCAGTAGTCTCAACCGGTCCAGGGTTCTGGCTCTTCAGGTACATTACATGTGAATTCTCCCGTGTTATTCCATCTCCAAATTCACACCATCACGCGACATTATTTCTTCAAATGACAGATGGAATTATCGATAAAATTGATTTCAAGGAGGGAACTCGAAGCCAGAAGCCGACTAGTCTTCCCCCTTCGCTACTCATTTACTCCAAACGACCAAATTGCTCAATAAATTCACCAACTTGTTCGAGAAATCGATAAAACATGGGGAATGTGGTTCAGTTATTCTTGGTCAAGGGGTTTTTGGGCGCAGGACCGTTATACCCTTCCTTCATACAGATGTAATCGGAGGGAAACCAGTTTTTGTTTAAAGTTTACAGTCGGTCCCACTGACTTCTCCAGAATTTATCAGCGGCTCTTTTTATTCATTCAACTTTTGTTTATTCAGGCCATTTTTTTTTTCATTTATTAATTATTTATTAATAAAGAGATGTGAATAACATTTTAGAAAGCGTAAAGTTTAAAATGGTTTTACACTTTTTTTTTTTCTTCAAATAACGGAACGACCGAATTATGAACATAAACTCAAACGCTACTTTGTAGACAAATTAAATTCCCCAGTATATTCCGAGCCAATTAGTCAGTTTTTCGTATATTTTCCTCCATATTTATGACGGCGGAATATTATGGAATGGTTGTTTCCTGGTAATGAAGACTCGTAAAAAAAAAATTATGTCTGTTTTATATATTTGTTCGGGAATATTCAGCATAAGCGGATAGTCGACAGAGAAAAAAGATTAAAACATTAATATAATTTTTTGACAAACACAATTGAAATAATTCATGTTGCCAGCTATTGACGAAGGTATGCCAGACACCGAATGGATATTTGGCGGTATCGGAAGCCATTTCCACCGTGCGATTGATATATGGCGAGGGCGGACGATTCAGGTTTTTAGCAGGGGCTCTTCTGGCCCCCAGGGCAGCGATAGCACTGAGGGTCGCAGGAATATCATTTCTCAATGCCTTCTTGAAGTGTGCTCCACGCACGCAAACCAGACTGTACATACAGGTAATAATTCTCACTAGTAAATTTCCGTATGGCTTTCCTTATGGCTAACAATGCCATGTAACATGAAATTATTGAATATTTAGTAATGACTTTCAAGTCGGGGTTTTCAGGGCGTTGGTATGATATATAATCTATACTTTGTATTAATGAGCGCAAAGTCATGAAATGTCTCTTTGCAGGCAGAGGCGTGCGAGGCGGGTCTAGAGCCCCGGGTCCTCCAAGAATGGCTGACGGAGGTTGATGGTCGTAATGAGGATGGGCTCATGGATTTGCTCAAGAAACAAGTGGTGAAATGGTCGCAAAATTGTGTGGACGTTGATGACCTCCAGAAACGATTAGCGCGGGCTGAGGAGACGTGCACAGTGCTGAGTAAAAAGGTGTCTCTCCTCCAGAATCAGCTCGATAAATTGCAACTGGATAAAAGAAGCGGCTACAAAACGATAACTAACCATCAAAAGGCCAAACCTCAGCGATTGTCATCGAACGGTGAAGATGAGGGAATAAGTTCATCAGAGCGATCCAGCAGTCCTGAGGATCACCTCAATCAAGCAAAACCGATGGATAACGATCAGGAGACAACGATCGACGACGTTATCGAGGAGTTGAGAATAATCGTGGAAGATGCTGAGGAGCAGGACAGAATAGATCACAGGACTAATACAACCAGAGGAAAAGACAGACCAAAAGCCAAGGATTTGCTATCAAATGTCGACACTAAAGACATACCCGTGAGCTATTATGTACGTAATGATGAATTGTTGATGAAAAATCCTCAAAATGTCGACGGAGAAAGTCTCAAGATTGTCGTCAAAGGCCCAGACATCGAGGAGGCGATAGTTCCTGCTATTTTGTATCCCCAGCCTCCCAGAAGAAGTCCTCCTTGTCTCTCAACGATCCTAGGGACAAGGCAGGAAGATTTTCTTGAGCATCCTATTGTCTACCATGTTCAGGACGACGAAGAGGGGGAGGAGGAGACTCTAGGGGATGGCAGTGACTCACTTCTGAGTGCCTCCAGGTTGAGATACAGTAGCGATCAGGGGCATAGACTCAATCTATCAAAAACCACCACTGAGACAATTAATAAAGATAAAGAACAAATTAATATTGATAACAAGCACAAGAAGACAGAGAGAGGGTTCGATCCCTTGGTAAATCTTCCAAAGACTTACGTCAAACAAGAATCAGTTTATCATCAGTTTGAATCAATAAAAACTCAAGCTGGACAAATTGAGAGGAATAACTCGAGGTACAGGATCAATGATCCAGACAAGAAGAAAATCCTCAGAAGATCAGTTTCCCACGATTTTTTGAGCTCAGAACACTCCAGCCCTTTGTCTCGACGCTCTGAGGGCAAAGTCGAGGGAAGAATAAGGAAATTCGAGAGTATGAATTCGTTTGATAATAATTTAAAAAATTTCTCCAGGAATTTGGGGAATTTGAGTAATCAGAGAAAGTCAAATCCTGAGAGGAGAATTCGACGGTCAGAGTCTTGTCATCATGTTTATAATCCTGTGAGGGGGGGCAGTCGAGCAGGGAGCGACAATGGATTGCATTACATCACAGATTTTGACCTGGAGCCTGTTATGACCTCGGAGATGTCCGAGAGGACTAATCAGTTGACAAAATCCTTGGACAGGATTGAAGAGGGACTGGACACGATGGTGGATATTGTTATCGGAGGATCTAAATCCTGGATGCAGGATCGGTTGAAGGACAAGTCCGAAGCACCTGACAGAAAACTGACTAATTCGACGAGAAGGGGCACGAGTTGGGAGCCAGGGATCAAGGCAAAACTTCAAGGGAAGACTTCAAATCATCTCAAGAATGATCAGCATTATAATGAATTTTATCGGCCAGCTGCTTTGAAGAATGATGAACTGTACAAAGAGAGGTCTAGGTGGAATGCCTCGGAAATAACCTCTTTTGAGAAAATGCATAATTTTACGGATAATAATCTGCCAATTATCAAGTCATTCTATCAGGAGAAAATTAACAAATTTTCTATTAATGACGCAGGCATTTTTTTACCGTCGGGCAGACCTTATGATGCCTTTGGATTAGGGAAAAATCGGTTCAATGCTGGCAAGTACTCGGGAAATCCTACGATTAATGATGCTCTCGGGGGCAGGCGAAATTCTGGAGGTTCTAGTGTTGTTAAGAGGGGAAAAGTGACGGATATTATTTCAGGCCTGTACTGACCACAATTGAACAGTTTTTTAAAAGGAAAATTCATAGAAAAATAGAATTCATCGGACAATTCTGTTATATTTCTGTTAAACTATTGGTTTATATTATAGTTTATATTATACACGAATGTTTGTGTTTATTTAAAAATTATTATTGAAAAATGATTGAATATTGAGAATAATTATCGAAGTGCAATATTATATAATAATAATTATCTGATTATTATGTGTCAATACTGAATATTTTTGGGATACGTGGGTGATGGATGAATTTTCATTTATACGTAAGAAATTTTTATATTTCACAATAACTGTTTAATACTGGAACGGATTGATTTAATTTACGTGCGCAAAACGATGAAGGAATAAATGGATTTTACATCACAAATATTTTTAAAATGCGTACGAAATAGAGAGAATTTACACAGTTCACATGAGAGACGTAAATGAGACTTGAATTTCATTTTTTTTACAATTCGTCATTATTATCTGCGAAATTTTTACATTAAAGATACACAAGTGTAAATTTAATAAACCAAAATACATTCTGTAAATTAATATTTGTGTTGCAATTTTTTAAAAAGAAGGGAAAAAAATGACAGGAAGTGAGGTTGAATTGAATTCTCAGTGGGAGTTGATTTTAAACATGACTATATTGAATATGTACAGAATTATTTACATTTTTTATTATACTATTTACAATGCTTTATCGTCAAAATTTCACTGGGGGGGTATCCCTTAGGCGGCAGCAACACCAACCTATTTTTTTTAATTAAATAAATCTAATCTTAAATACGATTTTTATCCCTAATGAGTCACTGGTTGGTGTTCGTCCATGCGCAGCAGCTGAATCAACTACATCTTCATTAAATACATATGTACAATATAAGGAAAGTATTTACAAGATTTCTACGAAAGTCACAAGATAATTCTATTGAATTGGCATTCTATTAATTTTCGGTTGGTTCTGTTGAAATTTTTCCGAATTTTCTCGATCCGCTACACAGAGCCGATTAATTAATTAAACGACTAATTTGCCAATTGTTTCCATTATTCTTCTCCAGTTGATCAATTAAACTCTTCTAATTACGAGACGAATGGCAGAAAAAAAAATTAATTATCAGGATAACAGCGGATAGCTGAAGATTTTGTGAAGCACGGGTGGAACTCGTGCCAGAAGATTGCAAGAGCCCATATCTGTGGCCCAAGCTCAGTCTGAGATGAGCCCTTAGTGAAGGATTATAACTAGGAGTTCTCCCACACTGTCGCAAAGGTGCCTCCCAGAGATTATCATCCCTGGGCCCAACAAGCAACGTATACTGCCCACTCCAATTGACCCCAACTCTAGCTCTCAATCCAAGAGTCGAAGGGGCCTCGAGTGCATGTCTAACACAATTCCTTGGCCACGAGCCCAGGGGCTTCACCTTGAGTCCTCCACTTCCATCACTGACTATCTGAGCTCCACATCTTGCTGCTATCGATAAATCCCCAACGATTAGAAGGCTCTCAGCCACATGAAGATCGAGTTCAGTGGTTCCTGCAGGAATTGATGACACCTGATCCAAGGGTTTTTTCGTTGTTTCTTCACGTCTCTGATTTCCACGGAGCATTGCGGCAAATGATTCCGCCAGGGAAGGATGAGTGCTGCCAAGAAGGTGGCGGTAAGATTTGTCTGAACCCAAAGTCCTTCGCAGAGCGAGATCTGCTAATGATTCTGTCGTTTGTTCAGGCACTTTCTTAGTTTCTTTTGTCGTTGTCTCTGAAGTTGTTGTGGTTGTTGTGGTTGTTGTGGTTGTTGTGGTTGTTGTGACTGCTGTGGTTATCGGTATTTCTGTTGTGGATTCTGAAGTTTCCAATTGACCATCAATTACTTTGTCAAAGTTTATTTTCGGTATCATGGCAGCACGAAGACTGCGGTCCTCCTCGTAAATATCCAACAATTTCTTCGCCATTTCTGGTTTCATCCAGGGAGAAAAATCCCTCTTGTTGTACTGAACCTGTCGTGCATATCGTTTCGGTTTTTCAGGATACGATGTGAATATTTCAGTCTCTGCTATTTCATCGATGGGGTAATTGATGATAGTCTCTTTTGGCTCGAGGAAATCTTGTTCGGTGAGCTGATGATGGCGTTGATGTCCCGGACGTTGGATGTAGCTCCCTGCTGCTGTAACTGCGTAGATGAATTTATTGCATTTGGCATCGGCGAAATAATCCCAACGACCTGTCCAGAGGAGATCACCAGAGTAGACTTGGAGTTGACGTTTTATCCAGAGACCGCCCTCGCAGCTCTCGCAATTCCCAGATATCCATGAACCACCAAGAAGTGCTGGAAGGGCTGCGACTTCGTGGAGAAGAGGTGGACTGTTCTCAGTCCCCCTGGATATTGCACTGCACACCAAACAGCCTTTGATCTGAAGAAAATTTCATTGTTTGAATTTTTTTTCATGATTTTTTTTTTTGTTGGGATAAATTTCAATGGGAAAACAAGATTTTCAATATTCACCGTATCAGCTCGAAGGAGAGCGGTTGGCTGCAACGATGTAGACCTGTGGGATTTCTTCACATGAACATTTGGAGATAGACTCCCCAGGAAAAGCTCGACTTTGGGTTCCCCATTGGGGCCCAATCCAAATGCTGTCGATGTTGAGGGCTTCCTTTGAACTCTCACGAGACGCAGCTCATTGAAATCAATACCCAAGGGACCTAGACAATTGAGAGCACCGTATTTCCTCGAGGGAATCGGACGTTGAAAGGAATTGTATGTAGGCCCTTCCCAATTGAACTTCGAACTACGTTTTAACGGTTGTTCGTAAATTATTTGGGGCACATAGGGTCGCCAACGCGGCTGCGGAGTGCAGGTCACATTAACACGATGGCCGAATTTGTGGGCGACCTAATAATTGAATAACATAATTATTGATGAAAATATTAAAAGAAATAAACTCACTTGTCGTTATTATAAAGTGATTGAGAATGAAAATGAATTGGGGAAGAAGGACTTATGACACTGTGGATTTTTTTTTTTTGTTGTGATAGGATTTCCACATGGGGTACAGAGGAAAAGAGGGATTAAGATTTCAAAACATTTTTACAGACCTGTCGTGTCAGTGGAACAATATGAACGCGTTCCAGCTGGTAACTAGTTTCCGTAGCACCAGGGGCTGATGCAGATGATGACAGGATTCGAATGATTCCCCTTGCCACAACGGTATGTGTCGCTACACTACAAGACTCCTCGGCATAATGATGTCTCATCAGTAAAAATGTGCCATTCTCGAAGAACGTGTATTTCCTGATGACATACTCCGGACCCGCCCTCACTTCACATCTGCCAGGGGAGAGAATTGGTAGTTTTTTTGTAAATAAGCTGTCCTAAGACAACTTGGGGGATATCTTTGTTACAGCGTGAGTGTTATGGTAGTAATCGAGGGTAAAATTTTTTTCTCAGGGCAGGCAAGCGATTTTTCGGTATAATATCCTGAATAAACTGAACGAAATAATCATTTGGGGGGAAATTGCGGTGAATTCATTTGATCTGAAAGATTTTTTCCCCCGAAAAAAAATGTGAAAAATGAATGTTTAAAATTCTCCATCTGCAGAATGAGTAGAATTTTTGCTGTGGGTTAAAAAAATTTTCATTCCAACTTTTTTCCGCCGGTGATTACTCAATTCCAGTGATTGGTTCCACATATGTCAAAGAGTCTGTTGAATATATTTGAAAAGGAGCTTGCAAAAGTGAAAATTTCCACATTTCGATTTTTCCGAGAATTGGGTGAAAAAAATTTTCACGCCGAAGCCCCTGTAACACTCGTAAATAATCGGACAATAGTGGAGGGCATCTTCTAGGCCTTAAGGGACACTAGGGGAACAACTCAAAAACGAGACCCGTCCTTCACACCAGTGTCACCATTTCCTCACAAAGAAATCACCACCGATTGGTCGAGGGAGGACAATACCTCAAAAAAATATCGAGTGGAGAATTGAATTCGATATGAATGGCAGATTGCTCGATCGGTTTACCCTCATTTTTCAAAAACCACTGACACTCATGAGCCTTTTACCAAAAATCGTTCATCTGACCTGAAGAAAACGAGGATAAATGACATGAAAATTTCAAACCATTTCTAAACACTCGACTACCGTAAAACATTTTATCATCCGGTTTTAGTTTCCCCATTAAAACCAATGAGAGGTCAAAAAATAAAAATAACGATTCCCCGAATTCACGCCATGTGTTCATAATGAGGGACATGTAAAGTGCACGGCGGCTGCTGTGAAAAGAAGAAAGAAAGAAAGAAAAAAAAACCGGCAAGATAGGACTTACTCTTGAGATAGCCAAATTGAATGGAGTCTGTCTGGTGTGTCATCTACGATCGTTGCTCTGTCTTCCTGGATTGTTTCTCTGATTGCTGTATCACACTGATCACCACCTGGATCTCTCCACTCGTTGCTCCAAATTCTATAACTCTGACAAACGCCTGAAGCACAAACAAATATACCATTATTCTCTGTCATCCTTTCCATCCATACCTTTAACCGAAATCTCGTCAATAAAACTAATCGACATTGACCTGAAAATTTCTCCGCTAATAATTTATTACGAAAGGTGAAAAATATCCGCTTTCCTGTCTTGTATCTCATTTATGAAAAAAAAATCCAGTGAGGCATTTTTTCAGATGGTACAAACACAGTTTAGATATTGGACGATAAATACATGTAATATCTCCTATGTTGGAAATTTTCCCCGTGCTCGTCGATTTCTCTATCCCGGACGTTTGTCCATGGGAGTCCTGTGCTCTCTTTCCAGATATTCAAGTGAGAGGACAATGAGTCAGAGAGAGAAAAAGGAATTTCCCTGGGGCAGGTATTTCTGAAGTGAGACGGAAGAGAGGGCCCACCCGCTGGTTGGGACCGTAGATTTAGGGCCTGACAGATTCTAAAAGATAAATACCCACGTATATTGGATTATCTACGTTTCACCCTGTGGATCCAACCCCCTGCCACTACCTGAAGCTGTGCACAGCTAAAATACAAAAAAAAAAGAGGGAATTCCCTGCGGTGAGGACCCAGGTGACAAGAATCTTTATCCCGGGGAGTTCAAATTTTGACGACTCAAATTCCGGAAATACCTGCTAGTTTCCTCGTTTCCCTCAATTTTTTGCAAAATCATTACATTATTATTTGCCAAGAAAAAAAGCATAGATAAGTTCTCAGAAAATTCCCAAGCGCCAATTTTTGTGGGCTGAAGTAAATTCGAAGTATTTTTTTTTTCTTAATGCAGTGGGAAATCGTCGAGGTGATGAGATGAATATTGAATGATATTTAAGGGGAGAAAGCATCGTGAATCCCATTTCAATTGGCAATGATTCGGCCATTGATTTTCAATGGCGGAAGTCCCATGTGTTTTTATCTTTTTCAAATATTTTTTCTCGCGGCGGTACAAAACATCTCCTCATTTGAATTATTTAATGTCTATAAATTTTTTTTTTAACGTCGGGATTTTCTTGGAGTCAGGGAATTTATTGGGTAAAATGATCATTAATATTCATGATGGATGAATGTAAACAGAATATTCGGACTCCCAGTGGGGAGTGTCTGATCGTGAGATTATCATGTTGAGGGAAAAAAAGGGAGCGATAATAAAGGGGAACGGTTGGTCAACATTTATTAATAGAAGACATAGAATCATTTCACAGATTTTGGGAAAGCGTATGGTACGATCGGAGGGTGCACGTGTGCATTATGTCGAGAAAACGGTTTGGGGATGGTTGCTTTTCAGCCAGACAACAAGGATTACGAGGACTAAAATTCCCCCCGAAAAACAATTAATGTTTTTCTTGTATTTTTTTTTCCTGAGGCGATTTTTCCTTCAACTCCTGCGTTCTTAGATTAGTGTACACTTGAAACTGAATTTAAATAGCACGTAGGAGTAAGGAGAAATTGAATATTCTATTCTCATGGGAACATTGACACCCTAGCGTTCCCCGATATCTGAGATCATCAAACTTTTTACTCGTCTGCTATTGTTTCAATTGGTATTCATACCTGGAGAAGAGTCTTTCAGGTACGTGAGACAATGTGGCATTATTTTTTAAAAATATAAATTCCTCACGAGCTGAATTCTAAATTAAATACAATTGGAATAATAGAAACTAAAGCAAAGCAAAAGCAAAGGGCACCTTAAATAATTTAACCACTTTGTCTCTTTGTAAAAAAAAAAAACGTGGACGTTGAGGGTGGCATTGGTATTGACTCATAAATAAAATTCGTATTATGAAAATAAAAAATTCATTTCATTAGCAATTTGTTTTTTAGTGAATGAACTTGAATAAAAATAGTTGAAAAACTCACCTGTGATTGTAAATAGTAAAATGATTATCTTGAGGATGTCCATGATTAGGTAAAACTATTTGCAATGCACTTGCACAATCACATATCGCTGATAATGTCACTGGAAATGAACACTGGTGAGTAAACGTATGGGATGAGAGGAGCAGAGTAACTGTCGAACTCAGGGGACCAACCCTAGGGCTATATAGATTTTTCCCCCACTATTCTGCCAGCGTGGGTCCAAGAGTGCAGCATCGAGGGCCCAAGATGACGAAAAATTCTTCTACCCAAGATACCCGCTGAGAGGGTTTCAAGGCTCCAGGCACAGTGCACCAGCTATCTTTTTCAAAACTGATAGGTCTCCTGATAGGTCTGAGATACAAGAAATGTCACTCTTCGTTTCAAACACTCCCATTATCAAGCCTCAAGACTTAAGCCTCACATTTTTCTCGGATATGAATCTCGGAAAATAATGGCATTTTTTTTTTTTGGTAGAAATAAGTAAGATCTCTTGAGAGTTGGAAAAATAATTTTCGTCATTTCTGAAATACACATTCTTCCAATTCCCATGGCATGGGCACAAAATTATTTATTTTTTATTGGAATAAATTAAATCAAAGTTTTGGCTTCAAAGAACATTTCAATTTCTGGACTATTTTCATCATTTTCAGATTATAAAGAACCCCTGCATCATTATATCCAAAACACGAGGAAATAAGATCTTTGAATGGACGTAATCCACTGTTTAAACACCAACGTCCGTCAAACTCAATTTTCCAATGACACATCATATGCCGGAGCTCTTTTTTTTCACTATCTCAAAGGTTTTCCTGGACGCAAGAAAGCCTCCGTCCATTTAGTCCTGACAAAAGAATCCCAGGACATCTATATCCGGGGCATCATGTAAGGAACCCCTCAATCCCTCTCACTGGGGATTTCCCGGGCATTGTTGAAAAAAACGGGTCCTGCATCGATTGTTGGATTTTTGGGGTTTGACTCTCCTCCTGGAGAAGATTTGTGACGCGTGGATGGGAGAAAATTGAGAAATCTCACTTGGGTGGGCCCCTGAGATACCTCTCAATGCCAGGAAAAAGAAAAAAAACATCTGCACTCCCCCCCCCCCACTGAATTTAACGGGCATTTAGCGAAAATTGATTTGGATCCGAAGACGCCCCATGTATGTACACATAATAGAATAATGGGATCATTGTCCTGACTTTTTCCTAGCCTGGTGTCTCACTTACATCGTAACTTTGGTGGTTTTTCATCCCCAGGAGGAATTGTCCTCAGTAGCCAGAGCTTAGAAATCCACATTGAAAAAAAGATATTTATTCGGGATGAAAAAATGTTTATTCAAATTTTTACTCATTAATCTTGACAAGTTAATTCCATGATTTTTTTCATTGTATAAAGTGACATACTGGGAAATAATAATTATTAGAAAGGGTACTAATAAAGTAAGTGTAGAATGAATGATGATCTTATTGCATGGCTAAGAGCATGGTAAAGTAGGAGCCGGACGTCTTAACAATCTGTGAGTATTAATTAATAAATAAATTAATAAATAGACACGTCGCACTGCAATCTAAAAATAGTACTCAAGTACTCACCACAGTGAATAATTCGAATGACATTATTAGGAGTTTACCTGCTGTCAATTGACACGGTTTTTGGCTTCTCATCATAACGAACTGTATCAACTTCTGGGATTTTAGCGAAGTATCGCACCATTGGGAATTTATTCTGAAGGCATATCAATTATATTAGAGTTGTCTCACTTGGGAGGATAAATATAATTACTCTTACACATTTATCTGGAAATCAATGCTGTGATCAGTAACTCGTTGAGAAACGAAACATACGACGAAGAATCGCGTCATTACTGATCCGATGAAGATCAAGTTCTTCAAAACTCGGCCGATATCGTCCAAGTGAAGCACCAGCTGAAGTTATTGATAATTTGCCTACTTATTCGTATTATTAGATTGATTAAGAATTCATATTTTATTGGGTAACCTGGAGTTCAATCATGCTCATGTCGATCATTGTCAATCCTAATAGAATGAATGTATTCCACCGGAGAATTTCATCGAGTAATCTCGTGTGCCTGCTCATCAGGACAGAAAAAAAAAACAATTTTCCTGTGTATGCCAATTGAATTGATTGAATTGGTGAGTGGCTTTTTTACCCGATTGCACGTTCATGAATTTGAATGCACCTTCTGAGGTAGTCGTATCCATAATCCTTTTCACAGGTTTTAGTCAATGGCACCTTCTCAATAGCGACACTTACAGCACAGTAATTATTACAATGATTGACGATATAAAAGAATTAAATTGAATTGAGATTGAATAAAATTTGTAAATATTTAATTTACTAATTACCCTAAAGCAGCGAACAATCCGCAAATATGTTGGGCACAGAGGAAGAAGAACAAGTCGTAAGTAATAATCATCAACATAATTACACTGACGGATAATTCAGTGACAAAGAGAATTTCGTAGTAATATTTTTCGATATTCATAATCGGATATTCCATGGGTATGAAAAATTTCGGAATACTCATATTGGATTTCACTAGAATATTGATGAGTCGCAGCTCTATGGGAGCCAATGTGAGAAACAAACTGCATGTGTACAAACTGACTGAAAATAAATAATCAAAATGTCATAGTACAACAAATATTCACTAAATTCCCCCAGCATTTATTTAGAATCTGCCAAATAAACAACACACCAATGATAAATAATTGTGTAATCGTTACCTGCATATAATGCAGAAAATTTGTGTCCTTGGCGAGTATATGACCGAAGAATTTCCAATAGATTATCGTCCTTGAATATTTCCCAATCATTTCTTATGCGATCCAGTATTTTTTTCACCTATAAATGGAACAGATTCAAAATAAAAGTCTGTCAAAACCTCATTCAATTATAATATTATGATATAATAATATCCACGATATCGATTACTTATCTTGTCGAATTGTGATAAATATGTGATAAAATTTAATACAACGGTAATGTCGATCATGAAATAAGTCATTGACTCCATAACAAGTTGAAAGTCATGATAATAGCCTTTCAGTGCTAAAACCTGCGATGATTTAAAAAAATAATTAAGACATCCTTTTATTTCCCAAAGCACAACTCACCTGAGGTATTGTTTGAAACAAAAATAAAAATACAGCGATAATTCGAAATATTAAACTCTCTCTCATCGACTGATAAGGCCACAAGCCCAGGCAACATGATAAAAATTTCAAACAGCTGTAGTGATTCTGATTCCAAAACTCCATTGTTTCGCTTCTTCCATGTTTCACGTTGACATTGGGATTTTTATTTTGGCTAATCTACGTTATACAATTGATAATTTTTTGAAAATAATTTCAGTGGTAATTCTCCTGTACTTAAAGAACAAAAGTCTGACAATTGAAAAGTTTTTTTTTGTAAAAATGCGTACCGAGACAAAAATTTTCCTTAGTACCATTTAAAATTTGACAGGATTGCAAAATTTTTCTTATTCTATTGGCCGAATTGAATTGAATTTGAATGGAAAATAATCCCCGAATACCACAAGTTCCAATTCCAGAATTATTTGGGTATTCTCCAGAGGCTTCAATAGAAATAAATGAAATACTCTTGGTGTATTACATGTGAGATTTTTTTTTTTTATTGGTAGCTCCTGACAATATCACCCCACAATGAATAACGTTTGCCTCGAGTATTCGTACTGCACGTAGACTCCCTACCCCTCGGTAATAAAACTAGAGGGAATATTCGTCCAGAGAAACAATCAAGTCGTCATATGTCAGGTAAATTGCCCAGGGCAATTTTCCTGGAAAAGGAGGTAAAAGGGTTGTACCATTGCAGGTGTACAATGGCGTCAATTTCCATCATTGATGCAAATAAGTGCAATTACTGAAAAGAAACTTCCCTTATCCTCACTTTAGTACCTTATCTGCCTCACTGTTGATGTGTAATTGTGCAACAACTCCCGAGATTATCTCGTAGCTAGAATTGCTCTATTTATTTTACTGCAATACTATTTAATGCATTACGATATTGAAAAAAATATTTTGAGGCATTTTTGCCGGCTAATGAGGAAAATTCATTTGGAAAATTGAAGTTTCATTGCATGGCCAGCAGCATTGTGAAATATGAACCGGATGTCTTGACAATCTATAAGTATATTAATTCGTAATAATATTTGGATGAATTCTGTTACGAGTTAATTCAACGAAAAAATTAGTTAATTCAAAAAACGGATATTTACGAGAGTAAATAATTCCAATGACATAACTAGGAGTTTACCAGCCGTCAGCCGACATGGAATTTGACTTCTCATTAAGACAAATTTAATCAATTTTTGCGATTTTATTTCGGCATCGCTCCACCTTGAATTCATTCTGAAATTGATTGAATAATTGATTTTTACCATTTACAATTCAACGATTGTGTGTGTGTAGTGAATAATAGCACTCTCCTAATAAATGAGTATTTATACTGCCGATAAATTGGTAATTTCTGGTGCAATTATAATAAGTGATAATAAATATTGTGAAAAATATAAATATGTGCACGAGTTCATACACATTCTTCTGAAAATCACAGCTATGATCTGTCACGCGCTGGGCGACAAAACATACAATGAACAAACGTGTCATTACAGATGCGATAAAGACTAGGTTCTTCAAAACTTCTCCAATATCGTCCAAATGAAGAACTAGCTGAGAAAAGAAAAATCCTTCGAATATTTTTCTTAGAAAATTAAGGTAAAACGGAAAATTTTTATTTTGCAACCTTTTTGCAAAGATATTTAAACTCGACATATTTCACCTGTAATTCGATCATACTCATATCAATCATTGTCAATCCCAACAAGATAAAAGTATTCCAACGAAGAATTTCGTCGAGTAGTTGGGCGAATCTGCAGAGAATTAGATTTTCTTAATAATCGACCCGATTTTTAGAGGAATAAGTTTCGTAATTGCATACTCAATTGTCCGTCTGTGAATTAGGACGCAGCTCTTGAAATAATTGTATATTTCATCATTGAGATGAGGTTTCGTCGAGGCTTTTTCGATAGCAGCACTTACAGTATGACATTTATTAAGTTGTAACAATAATTAAAAATTCGATTTAAAACTTGTATTACCCCAGAGCAGCAAATAATCCACAAATGTGCTGGGCACAGAGGAAGAAAAATAAATCGTAGGCGAGAACCATTACTATGATGATAGTAACGCACAATTCGCTGAGACAGAAGAGAGCGTAATAATATCTGTCGACATTGAACAATGGATAATCCATTGGCATGAAGAATTTTGGAACACTGCTGTTGGATTTCATTAGAATATTCATGAGTCTCAATTGTAGCGGTTTCAACGTTGTGAATATACCAGATATGTACAAACTGCCTAGACATAATAAAATATTAAATATATTATTAATCATTTTTCAATGCACAAAATAATTTATTCATCTTATTATTCATTTGAAAATGTTTTCATGTTTGACTAAAGTTTTTTCTCAGCAAAAATTAACCTGCGTATAACAACGAAAATTTTTGCCCCTGTCTGGCATATCTCTCAAGAATTTTCAATCCCTTGTCTGCCAGGAATATGTTCCAGTCCTCTCGAATTCTATCCAGCATTATTCTCATCTATAAACATAATCCATTCGAATGAATCATTGCTGTAAAATAACTTTTAGCCATTGCATTGACTAAGCAAATTACTTATCTTCTTGAATTGAAACAAATATGTGAAAAAGTTAACGACAAATGTGATTTCAATCATAAAATAAGTCATGGACTCCATCACTAGTTGGAAATCGTCATAGTAATTCTTCAGAGCTAATATCTGCAACCATTGAAAGTTTCAAGTTTCAATTAATCACTTGATACTATCTTCCGTGTCTCATACGATAATTGCTACTGAAATTACACTACGTGATTTATCGTTAATTGGTAACCTGCAATTACACCTTTTGAGAATTGGTGAAAAATGCACGTCACGATTTTTAAACAATGAATTTCACAATGACTAACCTGAGGTGTAATTTGAACGACAAATAAAATAATAGCAATGGTTCGATGAATTAGAATTTCCTTTGGGGACTGATAAGGCCAGAGTCCCAGTAGACATGATAGAAATTTTAAACAGCTGTAGTACTGCCGATTCCAGAACTCCATTTCCTTCAAATTTCACACAAAATTTTAACAGCTATTTCCATTTCATATAGCTCATGATGTAATAAGAGCACGTCTAAAAAATTTTATAAATTTTTAGGTGAAACTTTCACCTTCCAGTCACAATGTTTAAAATTTATTTTACTTTTCCCTATTTTTCTTTTTTTTTTCAACTCTCTAAGGGAAGAACTTGTAATATAAGCCTCCTACATAAGTCGTTCTATGAGATTGTGGGAAATGAAAATCTAAAACGCATGGGCGAGAAGAAAAATCAAAGTATCGAGTGACAGGTAAATTGCGCCCTGAAATAATTCAGTGTAAAAACTCTTCAAGGGGTGAAGAGAAAAAAAAAGGGGTCGGAGTGATGGAGTTACCCTGATGATGCCAACTTTGAAATTATTAACAACTTCTACACACGTAAGGGGAGAAATTCAATGATGCATTTTTACATTTCCCTTCTCAATTTTTCCCACAATTTATCGGGGAGATTTTCCCCTCTAATTGTGCCATTAAAATTGAAAGAGGGAAAAAAATGTACTTTTACCATTTCTTTAGGGATTTTCTCACGTGGGAAATATCAAACTCTAGTTTCAAATGGACAGCCTTACAACGCGATTCTCCGATTTTCGTGATCAATTTATTTATCTGATGGTCCTAAAAGATTATTTATTTCATTGTGGAATTATATGTACATAATTTTACAATTTACAAGTCATTTCATTCGATTTTTCTCGCTTAAAATTCATTGCATCGCCAAAAATACTGTGAAGTAAGACGCCGAGGTCTTCACTATCTGAAACATTACAAAATATTAATAAAAAAGATTGAGGGTATGTGGATTGAGACGTCTCACCACGGTAAATGTCTCCAAAGACATCACCATAATTTTTCCAGCTGTCAGTTGACTGGGAATTTGGCTTCTCAGAATCATCAGTTTAATCATCTGCTGAGTTTTTACTGTTGTGAAACACCAGCGGGAATTCGCTCTGATAGTTGAGGACAACGATAATAATATCCAAAAATAATCCAGAGTTTATTGGGAGAATTGTTGACATATTGTACATACATTTTTTTTTGCAGGTCTGAACTGTGATCCATGATTCGTTGACACATGAAACAAGTTATAAAGAGATGAACCAATTGAGAAGCTACAAAGACACAATTCTTCAAGAGTCTTCCTATGGCGTCCATGTTACTCACCACCTGATGAGGATTCAAGGCCAATTGTTAATATTCATATCCAATTTGAGAATACATTTGTTTTTTGTTTTTCCTGTATTTTTTTACCTGAACAGCTGTTAAACTCATGATTATCATATTTAGTCCCATCATGAGGAAGAAATTCCAGACGACAATATCTTCGAGTAAATTCGAAAATCTAGAGGAATATAATCATCGACATGTCTGATATGTTTCCTGCTCATTACTTATGCTGATTTGCTTACCTTATTGCACGATTATGTATTTGAATGCAACGTTTGACATATCGAAATCCCCTGTTGTGTGATTCAGAATGTCTTCCAACTGGTAAATTCTCAATTGCATATCTTGTAATTGTAATGACAAAAAATGTTATTATCATTACTTCAAGTGCCAAGAGGGAAAAACGAAATCAAAAATATCTTTTATAGCATACGAGAGATAGGGAAATTTTTATCTGAATGTTATTTATAGAGTAAATTAAGGGCTGCAAAATGATTTCAACGAAAATTTCACTATCCCTTTTAAATTGAGAAATAATTTTTTAAATACCCAAGCGCTGCAAATAATCCACAGGCATGTTGAGAGTAGATAAAGAATAATAAATCATAAACAACCACCATGCTGATGACGACAGCAACAGAGATCTCTTGTATGAATAAAAGACCATAGTAATATTTCTCGACATCAATAATCGGATATTCCATTGGAGTACAAAATAATGGCACATTGAAATTAGTAGCAAATACTGAGTTGAGTAATCTCCACTGCAATGGTTCAGTTGTGAAAAAAATTCCAGAGCCACAAATGCCCACTGTCAAATGCCCAAGTCAAATAAAATATTTTAACAGAATTTATAATCAACGTGATATATTATAAAAAAAAAATCAACCTGCATAAACAATTGCCAATTTCCCCCCATCTTTAGCATATTTGTCCAATATATGACGCCCTCTTTTCTCCGGGAATATCTTCCAATTCTCTTGAATATCATCTAGAAGTATTCGCATCTAAAATATTTCCATGGGAATGATATCTCGGTGAAATGGCATTAAAAAAATCTGCTATACCTTTTTGAAATTCCAGAAGTAAGTAGATGCATTTATCAAAAAACCAGCGTCCATTATAAATGTTCCCACTGAGTCCATGATGATGTTGAAGTCGGCAGAGTTATGGCAAACAGCCAAAATCTAGGGAATTGCAATGATAACGAATGCCAGTGAATAATTTGAAACATGATGAACAATCATAAAAGTTTATTTAACTTGCATGCAAATTGCATTTAAATTGAAAATGAATTTTTAATCAATTTTTAATTTACCTCAGGTATAACTTGGATGATAAACAAGAAGAAGATGATGGTTCGATGGATAATAAGCTCTTTCTTACTCTGATAAGGCCACAATCCCATCAAACTCGATATGGTTTTCGTAACGCTGTAGCAAGGCTTATCCCAAAAGTCCATATTGCGTCTCTTCTCTGTGCAAACTGAACCCTCATGGCAAAATTTATCCCAGCCTTTCACCCTGTTATCCCCCCAGTACTCTACTTGTGAGAACATGACGAAATTTAGCATTTGCGCCTGACAAGTCAATTGCTCGTCAGTTATTTTCGCGGAAATATATGTGGTGATGAAGAGAAAGGGTTCTGAGGGAGATGTACATAGGTGGACGTCAGTTTCTGGGAGTGACAGATGGAAAGTGCATCGATCATATGAAAATATCAAATTGCTCTCTGTTTTCTGCCTCAGAGTGGCAATGAATAAATCATCGGAGAAGAAACTTTTATCCATCGATTTTCTCAACAAACCATTTCTGCGAACGTAAAAGTAATAAATAAGGGAATTTTTATTGCAAAAACTCTGCACATAAATCCTTTTCATTTCATTTCATTTTATGAGCTTAAACAAATTTTTTTATCATCCCGAAAATTCCATTGGCTGCACTCATTTTTCAACAACAATCCATCGATTATCATCCATTTTTAAGTTTTTTATTTGTTATCTAATACTTTAATTAATATTTCAGTATACAAATACATATTATTATTGATATTAATGGATTATCCATTTGTATTCTATACTGGTGTCTTTGATGAAATTGCCGCCTTCAAATGCATTTGTTCCAGTCCAAACTTTTTTTCCTTGCTTTCCGAGCTTCGGTAAAAATTATATTGATTGATCCACACACATTTATTCACATGAATCACCAGTTGTAGGTAAGTTACCGAGAAATTTACGATTACTTGTGACATGTATTATTAATATTCCTACGGCGTGCGCGCGTACGCAACACGTTGGACTTGTGCTTTTCAATGAAATTGTAAATAATAAATAAACACAATAAAAAATGGCAAAATTCAGCTCTTATCACACCTTGTGTCCTGGAATCGATCCACAAAATATACTTGGAGTTGAGAAAGATGCTGACACAGGATGTGCAATTGTTACTCTAGGGAGAAACATGGTGTACAGGTATAAGGTTAGTTTATTTTCATACATTTTTATTGCAGTTTTCATGGCAAATTCTTTTAAACCGTTAGTTACACACCTCACAGAAATAATAAATGAGAGATAAAATCATTAGTAGAAAAGGTAATTCGATTTAACTAGCATATAAATTGAATCTAAAAGGAATAGTCAATTTTTGTTGAATTCCTCTTAAAATTTTTTTTTCTCTTGCAAAACCTAATGCTTCAGCTTCAAGATCTGAAAGAAGCAAGCTGCTGGTCGTCCCAGGAATGGCTGACAACGCAAGTAGTTTACGATCGCAAAATGGAACATTATGTGGCAGTCTTCAACGACAAATACCTGCGCATGTGGGAAAGCACTGAAAAACACCTGCACAAAGTGAAAAAATACAAATTCGACGTGGCACTTTGTGCGATAATTCTCTCAGAGGTGGACTCGCCAGTGTTAATCCGACAAGATGGAGCAACAGCTTCCCTGAAATGGGCCCTTGAGAACCGAAAAGTCTGGAGCAACAACAGAGGAATTTTGAATTCATCGAACGAGGATCTCTCCGATTGTCGACTGCTTCTCATCAACGGTAAAACCTACTTCTGTGCACTGACCACCACAAAAACATCACCAGACCACTGTACCTACCTGATAACAGAGGTTGACGCCAAAACATACGTTGGAATAAAACCAGACATCACAAGGATCGAGCTGAAGAGGCCCTCTGAGAAATTAATGGGCCACGTAATTCTTCAGGATAAAAATAACGGATACCTCGTGACACTTTGGTCCCACGGTCGTCTCTACAGTTATCCCTTGACAGGTGGCTGTCCAGAGCCTGTCCCAGGAATTCTTGTCAGCGTTGTCACATCGATAAGTGCAAAACATCCTGTGGCAATGGTGGCCATCAATGAATCAACCATAGCAATTTATGGAGCTGATGCTAATGAGGAAGGGGCTGTCCTAGTTATTTACAATATTCAATTCAAACTCGTTCAGGCCGTCCACAAATTAAAATTATACACTAAAGGAGCTAAATTGTGGCAGATGGATTACAATCTGCTGCTAGCTGCTAATCAGCATCTTGCTGTTGTTCCTTATCGTTTGGCATCCCAGAGAATTGAAACGATGCTTGGATCCTCTCTTAGATTTCAGAAGCCAATGAATAACGATTGTGATGTCATTGAGATCAGGGAGTCGACGATTGCTGACTGGGAGGAGTCGCTGGAAAAATTACCAGAGAGAATTTCTCTTACTGAACTCAGTAAAAACATTGCTAAACAGATTATGACGTATGTCAATGAAGGTGCCAGTGATGCCACCATTCAGAGGAGATTAATACCTCAGCTTATTGAGAGTAAAGATGTCAAGACCATCCTGTGGTGCTTGAATCATTTAAAAGATCTTCCGGAGAAATTGATTATCGATTTATTGGCCTTTGGGTTGAGAACACCAGAGACTATTTTTTCCAATTCTGTTTCACTGCAAAATGTGTTGGTGGAGGGATCAGGAAAAACCACAGTAATTACCAGGCATCAATTTCTGGATAGAATTTTCACTCTCAGCTTCTCGGATATCTGCCTCCTGCCACATTTGAAGTCCGTTCTGATGTTCGATGAGGTGATTGAGCTCATGGATATTTTTATTAAGAAACTCAGCTGTGACGAGGGTGGAGCGGAAGATCTCGTGGATCCGCATGATAAACAGATCTACGAGTGGTGCAGTTTGATTATGGATTCTCATTATCAGCATTATTTACTATCCAAAGATCCACGAGTGTTCACCATTTTTCGAAAGTTGAATGATATTCTAGATGATCACGTGAGTTGTTTTGTTAATAAAATTTTTGAGGCTGAATCCAAGCTGTCGCTTCATATTTTTTCTATTAAAGAAAAAAAAATGCTTCTCGGTTCTTCAGTTGTGATTTTGATTTTTACTGCATACAAAAAATTGTATTTCTCGTGTTTTTAGTTTCAGGTATTGAAGGAAATAGAAGAGCTGAGACCAATGGTTCAAAGAATAACTGATGGAAAACCCTTGAAGATATCTTCCAAGGGAATCAATAAATTTTACTTCATAGAAGTCATCGAATTGTATTAATTTCATATAAATCAATAATACACATGAATATGATTTGAATTTTATTACACGAATTTTTGGGTCGATTGAAATTCATATTTCCATTCAACTATTTATCCTCTTCTTTATTTTTATTTATTATTATGTACACAATTACATGAATTGCAGACGGTTGCAGGGCATTATCAATACGACCTGATCTGACATGCGGATGTATTTTTATATTCGATAAATAGTTCATTACTATTAATGGCGGATCGTTAGATTGAAAAAATCTAACTGAGTTGATCTACATGGGGTACAGTTGCTAAATTACCAATTGCTGCGAGCGCCACTTTACCACTGAGTTTTCCAGCCACCTGAATTGATACACAAATAATTACCATTCAATAATTGCTCTTATATATCACTGAAATTAAATAAATCCTTCATTTTTACCTTCTTAACATCAGCTGGACTGATTTTATCAACTTCAGCAATAAGACTGGCTGGAGAAATAACGCGTCCCTTAAACAGAACCTGTTGTGCCAGATTTTCAAGCTGACACATATTATTATCAGAAGCAAAAAGAATCGAAGCTTTCAGTTCTGTTTTGCCGCGTGCAACGTCAGCGTCTGTAATGTTTGCTGATGACATCCACTTATATGCAGCTTTTGTAAGCTAGAAAAAATGTTTAAAGACTGATATTTAATCCATCGCATACCATCTGAGAATTTATCAAAGACTCTAACTTCAAACAAATGTATTTTATAGATAATTTTGAATTTTATGAATGAGTATTCAAAAGTCAGGGAGGCAAGGATCAGTTTAAAAAATTCTTACAGGTCCTGCGACATTAGCAGGTGCTTGAAGAAGAAATCCGAATAGTCCAGAGTCAGAATAAGAGGCATTGAATGCTGTGATAGCAAAGGGATCAGATCCAGCAGCTGATGCAACAGCTCTCTGGAGTGGTGCTGTTGAAGTGCCCCATTTGGTGTGTGGCCCAGTTCCAGCAGCCTTTTGTAGGACTGCGAAGGCTAGAGCATCGGTTTCCTTATCGAAACCAGTGCTTTCCACTGCCACACCAACACTCGCCAGTGGTGAATTGCGCTCCTTGCGTATTTCACCACCTCCGAATTTTGTGGGGGTGCTGTTGCCAGAGCCTGAGCCCAGGCACAGTTCTGATGCCAATGGAGTAATTTCCCTCAGGGAAATTCCAGTGGCAACTATTGCACATCGATTTCCAGTGTACCAGGAATTCACGAAGTGTTGCAACTACAATACAATTATCAATCATCTGTAACTTTTACAATTTCTTTTTTTTTTTTTTTTTTTAATGTGTACACTGACATAAAAATTAACAATTTAGCGCACTGATCGAGGTTCATGTAAGGAATGAAAATAAAACTCACTGTTTCCGTTGAAATTTTATCAAGCTGACGTTTTGGTGAGTATAGGGAGTATCCCAGACCGTCGCGGTATGCAGCTTTATGCAACAACTCGACAATACGAACATTGTCAGGTAGAGTTGAGAGCTCGTAACGTAATCGAGGAGTTGAGTCTGATATTTCCCAAGGTTTGAAAACCTGTTGTGTCGCGACATCTTCCAAAAATATGAGGGCCTTCTCTCTGTCAAAATTCAAGGTCTAGTGATTATTAAAAGAAAATTAATCACAATAGAATACCCAGCAGGAAAATCCATGAAAATTATGATAAAGGAAAAATATTTACAGATTGTTACGAGTAACCTGGAGTGTGTAAGCAATGGATTCACGATCGGATACTGCGAAGAGATTGCCACCGAGCTGTTGAACATTTCTGGTTATGGCAAAGGTTGACGATCTTGATGTTGTGAGACCGGCTGCAATTCTCAGGAGGTGAGTTAAGCCCTGGGTATCGTATGTCTCATTACGTGAGCCAGCTCTGTTAAAAGGATAACATCAATCATAAAGTAGAAAAAGGTGAGATGAAAAAATTAATTAATATCATGGGACGTACTTGAAGATTATTGACACTTGGGCAACTGGACTGTTGTTGTCCAGGGCAGCAACAGTTACTTTATTACTGAGCACCTGGCTGTCAATATTTGCCACCGGTGACGATTGGGCTGTTTTGGCCAGTGTAGCATAATTCTTCACCTGCAAAGGAACAATGATTTCCGCAAATGGCAGTGAAGGATAACAATCCGATTGTTAATATTAATAAATCATTTTTCGAGGAATATCTCGGTATTTAACAGAGATAGCGAAATTTATATAATTGAATTCTTTATTAGAGTTCATAAAAGAGCTCCCATTAGAGTTCATAAAAGAGGTACCTATGGACATAAAAGATATTTCGCTAGTTCTCTTGGATCCCGGGGTATTCGACGAAATCTCCATTTGCCACACTTCACAACGAAATTATCATAATTTTTAAGAAAATGTGCCAGAGCACGTGTGAGGTGAGGTTTATTAATGGATAACGAACAGTTTACGAATTCATCTCAGCAGATTTTACATAACATTAGAGGAACAAAAGATCTCCACCCAAAGACTCATAACTATTCACATGCAAGACACAATACACACACTAGAACACGATGATTTTCTTCATTTACTCAAATAGTAGAAATTTATTATAACTTACAATGGGATTACGTAAAATTGGACATCTCACTGCTGAGCAAGCCATTTTTTATGCTCTACCCAAGGAATATCACAAAAATTCCAATCCAGAGAGACAATTGCACTCAAAGAGGATCGACTAAAGTAGAGGGTCAATTCTGGGGGTTTGAGTGGCCCTAGTGGCATCGTAGTACTGCACCACAAGAGAGGGAGGGCGCAACACGCAATGCTGGGGTGTTTTTTTTTTTATTAACCAAGTTTTTATTGCAATGCTGGGGTGTCCATCAAGTCGATGGGGTGAATTTTATTTTCTGCTGTACGAATGCTCTTTGTTTTTCATTTGTTTAACTGAAATTTAGCTGACTGTAGCACGTACGGAAGGGGGAAACCACATCTTGTGGAATTTC